CTCCTTCCTGGCTGGCCTCAGTGATGGCCTGAGCATGCACCTAGCAGACTTGCCTCCAACTTGGGTGCTGTGACCCGGGCTGACAGCTACACATGGAGCCCACTGCTGTGTTTGTGCCAAGGCTGTGCTTTCTGTGGGCTGCCTGAGTCAATGACCAGGGAAAGCAGGGACTCTAACACAGGTTCCTAGATCCGGGACACCTCTGATGCTGGCCTGGCTCAAAGATTTCCAGATAAGTCTCCCAGCTCATCTGACATTCCTCCCAATAAAATCCTTGCATGTCAGTTCCACCTGGGTATCTACCTTCCCCTATTGTATAATGACTGCAGAAGAGGCCAGGTTGCCTCTGAGGGAGGCAGTCTATACCACAGGGCACTACAGAGAGAGTGCATACATCACTCCCACTCATCACCCTGGAGCAAAATCTTGTCACAGGGCCACACGCAGCAAGGGAGGCTGGGACACGCAGTGTCTTCTGTGATGACCATGCAGGGGAGAATGGATGGTGCGGGACTTCTGGAACTGTGGCCATCCCTCCTTATTCAGTCTTCAAAACCTGTTCTGATCCCTTCAAGGTCAAGGCTCTGGAGCAGGATGTGTAGAGGCAGAGACTGTGATAAATCTGTGCAGATATAAATTAATTAAAACTAATCTCAATCTTGGGGAAAAAGCTATGATAAACCTAGGCAGCATATTATAAAGCAGAGACATTACTTTGCCAGAAAAAGTCTGTATAATCAAAGCTATGATTTTTCTAGTAGCCATGTATGGATGTGAAAGTTGGACCATGAGAAAGGCTGAGTGCCGAAGAATTGATCCTTTCCAACTGTGGTGCTGGGAAAGACTCTTGAGAGTTCCTTGGACTACAAGGAGATCAAACCAGTCAATCCTAAAGGAAATCAATCCTGAATATTCATTGGAACGACTGATGCTGAAGCTGAAGCTCCAATACTTTTGCCACCTGATGCGAACAGCCAACTCATCGGAAAAGACCCTGATGCTGGGAAAGATTGAAGGCAGGAGGAGAAGGAGACGACAGAGGATAAGATGGTTGGATGGCATTACTGACTCAATGGACATGAGTTTGAGCAAGCTCCAGAAGATGGTGAAGGACAGGGAAGCCTGGCATGCTGCAGTCTATGGGATCGCAAAGAGTTGGACATGACTGAGCGACTGAACAACAAAATCCCAATCTAACTTGCTACTGTAATGACTACTACATACTATGTCTGCTCCAAGGCAAAATTGCAAAGTGAGTGAAGTTTCTGTCCTGAGCCTCGCCCACCTCTTCAGCCATGGCCCCTTCTTTCCTTTTCAAATTCCCCCCAGAATCCCACCTGCCCAGAGTCCCTATTACAATGTCTCACCAGCCCAAGTTTCTCCTTCTTGCCTTAATATGTACCTGTTCCATTCTCCAAGGTTCTGCACGTTGCTAGTTTGATAAGTTAATTTCATATAAAGACATTTAGGTTGGTTAAGGCTTGACTGTGACAGCAACCAGGTGAACACATCTGGCTTCTAACCAAAACCTGGTAATGCCTTACCCAGAGGATGGAATGACAGTTTACATAGTGACTGCTACTGAGTCCTGAATTCCATATGACAAGCAAATATTTAGGCTTTTCTTTCCAAGCAGAAAGGATAAAGCCCAAATAATTTACCCCATAGGAAGGATCTTGTAGCCCAGTTAGCATAAGTTCTGTGGCCTCATTTTATTAATACTTTGGGCTATGTTCTTTGGTATATTTTCTTTTGGTGTCACATTTAGGAAAGAAGCACTAGTTCCCTTTGATTCAACACTGAACTGTTCACAGTACTATCTATCCCTAGAGAGTAAGATTATAGGTGTGTCTGTGTGTGTGTGGGGGGGCGGGGGGTGACAGGAAAAGGGCATTGCCACATTTTACAGCTCTAGAGAGTTTGGATTTTTCATATAAAGCACAACAAGTTTTATAATTTACAAGCCATTAGCCTTGCCCTGTGGTATGGACAAGGCTCCTGGCCTTTCTGTTTCTGAGAAGGTCTCTTCATCTTTGGTAACTGATGGCAAATCTGATCCTTACAGCCTCCTCTTCTCTCTTGGGAATGCATTTGCATCCTTCCTGCTGTCACCCTTCTCCAGCATGAAAGGAAATGTCCCTCCAGCCTGGTTTTTGCCTGCTCCGTGAGTCAGCTGTTCTGATTTATTTAAAACCTTAATTTTAAGTAAAATTAGAATGGAGACCACGTCTATGGATCTGCAGTGCCTTGGCTCAGTGCCTGGTATAAAGCTGACATGTTATAAATGTTTTTGAATAACGGCTGAGCCCTCAGGTTAGTCAAAGAACTGCCATGACCACTGATCTGTTTCAATACGGTGGGCGAGCAAGCCCTCAACTCTTTAAAGGACTTTCCCTGGGTTGCTCACTCAGATGCCAGATGTGGTTGGGAAGAGGCTGTGGGCTCCTGAAGGGCGGTGTAATAGTAAAATTAGGAGTAGTATCTGTGAAAACACTTACCCTATTATCCCAGTCACTAGGCAAGGCATGTTAGGCCTCAAGGGGGAATTACAGGCCAGAAGCTCACACTTTTATTGCAAGTTTTCAGATAACCAAAAATAAAAACAAAATCAGGGTATTTCAGTTTTCTGTTTGATAATGGTTACTTGATGGACTGTGTGAGTGGAATTGGGGCTTCCCAGGTAGCGCTAGTGATAAAGAACTGCCTGTCAATGCGGTGGTTTTATCCCTGGGTTGGAAGATCCCCTGGAAGAGGGCACGGCAGCCCACTCCAGTATTCTTGCCTACAGAATCCCATGGACAGAGGAGCCCGGAGGGCTATAGTCCATAGGATCACAAAGAGCTCATGTCATGCTGTGTATATTAGTCTAACCCCTGGGCCTAAACAAACACTGTCACTCAATCGTGTCTGACTCTCTGTGACCCCATGGACTGTAGCCCACCAGTCTCCTCTGTCCGTGGAATTTTCCAGGCAAGAATACTGGAGTGGGTTGCCATTTCCTACTCCAGGGTTATCTTCACAACCCAGAGATCGAACCCACGTCTCCAGTGTCTCCTGCATTTGCAGGCAGATTCTTTACCTGCTGAGCCATCAGGGGACCCCTGATTACTGAGCTTTAGTTTCCCTCTTCTCTGAAATGGTATTGATAATGACAGCTGCCTCTAGGCTTGTTTTAGGGATTAAATGAAATAATCCACTTGTTTTTTTTTTGAAAGCACAGTAAACACTCAATAAATGGTTACCATTGTTATCAACATCATTATCTAAAGTTTATGAAAGAGGGCCCGAAGGATCTGGGTTGTTTGTTCAGTCACTCGATCCTGTCCGATTCTTTGGGACCCCATGGACTGCAGCACACCAGGCTTCCCTGTCCTTCACCATCTCCCAGAGCTTGCTCAAACTCATGTCCATTGAGTCATGATGCTATCCAAACATCTCATCCTCTGTCATCCCCTTCTGCCTTCAGTCCTTCCCAGAATCAGGGTCTTTTCTAATGAGTCAGCTCTTCACATCAGGTGGCCAAAGTATTGGAGCCTCAGTTTCAGCATCAGTGCTTCTAATGAATATTCAGGATTGTTTTCCTTTAGGATTGACTAGCTTGATCTCCTGGGTTGTAGGCGCAGAAAACTTCAGTCCAGATAATAATAATAATAATAATGATAATACTCATAGAGGTCTGCTATGTCATTCTTCTGGGACCTCAAGTTCTGTTCTTCACTGACTTGGGAAGTGGGCAGATTGGAGCATGGGACTGGGGAGGGGGGCTGAGAAGACAGAGGAAAAATGAGGGTGGCTGATAGTAGGTTGGAGGTTCGGAGGCAACAATGCCAGCAGGAAGGAAATAGGAATTATCAAGCGCTGAGGAGTCCTAGTGCCAGCTCTCTGCTGACATAATTAATGAGGCTGCTGCGCCAAAACTGAGGCGTGTTGTTAATATACAGACCTGTTGGGAGCACAGGAGAAATGCAAACAGAGAAGTTTTGCCAAAAGGGGAGTGGGGTCAGATCAGCTCTAAAGAGAGATCACATTATCTGTAAGACTCTAATGTATGGATTTAAAAACACACCAAAAACAAAACAAAAAAGCACCAGGAAGAAGTAAAAGGCTAAAAACTTGATTTCAAACACGGGACCAAGAACTACAGAATACTTCGTGGGCTTCTGGCATTCTTATCTGATTATTTTACTTTTGTCTTTATTTTTTTCAAAGTTTGTTCAATATTCAATGTGAATATTCAGACTCACCTCATAATGACAAGTAAGAGTCCAACGGAATTTTAGCATTCAGGATTTTAACACACATTTCGTACGATGCCTAAGAGAAAACTTTTAAGACTGGCATCATTGCATTTTTTTTTTTTTTAACAGCTCTGGGTTGCTGAAAGAAAACAATCTTGAGCCTACGTAAGATTTTTGTGCCTGATGTTTTCATCATAAAAACAAAAACGATATTTGATTTTTCATATACGCGTTCTCAATGGCGAATTCAGTTTTCTTTTTAAACGGCCGTTTTGCATCACCGGGTGAGACGGACCAAGGATATGGTGCCACGGCTGACGGGACGGTCCAGAAGAGGGCAGGAATTGGAGTACCGGTTGCCATCGGTCCTCTGAGGGTGTGTCTGCGCATCAGCGGGAAGCAACCGCCCTGGCAGCTGCTCTAGAGGGTCGCCAGCACGGTCTCGCCCCCAGCTCCTCAGGCACAAGCCCCAGCGCCTTGGCTAAGCGGCGGGACAGAGGTGGCTCTGCGCTTTAACCCCGCAGGAACCTGAGCTCCTGCGCCAGTCATCCTCGAGGGGCGGGGATGGCGAGGGGGCAACAGAAGGAGGGGACTTTGGTCCCCCATTCCCCTTGGTTAACCCACTCCTCCCTCACTGCCCGCCCTGCTCCTCTCGATCTCTTCTAGCTTTTTCAGCTGCGCAGTGACCCTGAAAAAGCGCTTGGGAAGCGAGGTGCGGCTGGAGGCGGCAGGATGTGGAAAGGTCTGCTTTATTCCGTTCATTCAGTTTTCCTTTCCATTCTGCCGCTGCTGGTGGTTGGAGAAGGCAAGAAATGTTCCATATCTGCCTGTGAAGCCCAAGCCGAGGAACCATGCGCGCCGGGTCCACGGAGCAGGGTGTTCGCGCGTGGGCGGGGGCGCGCGGGCGTGCACGTGGGGCGCGGGGCAGACGTGCGCGCGCGCATTGTGTCTGCTTCGAACAGGGTCTGCACTGCGCGCTGAGGTCAAAGCACGTTCGCTTTTCGCTGGGTCCTGATGCCTGGCGCGCAAGTACAGCAGAGCAGAGCTCTGCCCGGCAGACGGTGAAGCTGCAGTGTCTAGTGAGAGCCGACACTTGCTCTCCGTTACACTCGGTGCTTTACTCCGTTCACTCAGGTCATCCTCAACAACCCAGGAAAGTACTGTATTATTACCTACCATTTCCGGATGGAGAGAGGCACAGAGAGGTTAAGTCGCCCAGAGAGGTTAAGCTATCTCTCTCAGCCACTGTCTACATCTTAACCCACTCCTCCTAGTTTCTTGAACGTGACAGCCTCCAGACTCCTGTTTGAAAAGCATTGGTTAAGGAATCCTTTTCACCTCTATTTAAAGCACCGTCATTTCAGCTTACCTAAAACCCCGAGACAGCTCACAACCGGCATCTAAAGCATCAAAGTCATTGACTCTGGCCTGGCAAATGGTCTTTCAGATGGTGCTTGATCAAGTGAAGAGTGCCAGCGTTTTTAAACTGATTCGTAGCATCTTTTAGTTTAAAATGTAACAATACATATACTTTGATAGCACAGTTGATTCTTTGTTTCTGATTTATTTTCCTGAATGCAAATGATGTAATATATTGGGGGAATGCAGAACACAAAGAAGAAACTAAAAATCCTCCCTTTTCTCCGCCCTCTATTTACCATATGATGTTGAACATCATTTTTCAACGTTTTCAGTCATTTTTTTCTAAGCATATTTATTTTCATGATAAAATTTACCTACGAAAAGAAATTTTAAAAGCTATCATAATGTACATTGTTTTCTTTTTTATTTAACATCACAAACATTACCCCATATCGGATATTCTACAGTTGTTTTTAATGACTGCACAGTATTTTATTGTATGACTTTGCCATAACTCGACTACTCAGTAGCCATGTTTTTTACACTCAGACTGCTCCCCAATTTTCACTATTATAGATGATAGACACCAGAAGGCAGCAAGCTTTGACTACCCCTTAGAACAAATGGAAATGCTGGGTCAAAGTGCATCACATTTTTAAAGGGATCAAATGCCCTCCAGAAAGGTGGGCTCACTCCACACATCTCCAGGTAGAATGAACATGCCCAATTTCTTTCTCAAGTCTGGGTGTCACTGCAAGGGAATCCTTATTAACAAACAAATTATATCCTTAAAGGAAAAAACAAATCTAGGTGATATCATTGGAATGTGCTGGGTTTCAAGAAAAGACTATGTGATTGCAGATTTTTGAAATATTCAGGAAACTCAGTTGAATTCAGATGCTCCTCTGGCTAAATGGGAGTCTGCAAAGTGAAGTGAGTGAAAGTCGCTCAGTCACATAGGACTCTATGAGACCCAATGGACTATACAGTCCATGGAATTCTCCAGGCCAGAATACTGGAGTAGGTATCCATTACCTTCTCCAGGGGGTCTTCCCAACCCAGGGATCAAACCCAGGTCTCCCACATTGCAGGAGGATTCTTTACCGGCTCAGCCACCAGGGAAGGCCAGGGAAACCCCAGGTAAAAGGGGACATTTTGGAAAAAGAAACTACGAAAGTTAATTCTCAAGCCATTATTTTTTTCTAAGGCAGGATGATAGATGCTGTCTATAAAATGGGGATGGAGAGAAGTATTAATTGCTTCTTTTGCTGGGTGTTCACCCATTGTCAGTTCAGAAAACACTGACAGTGCTGCCTGCCGCAGAGCTACTGCAAAAATATTCCAGGCAGCAAACCGAGGCAATTAGAGGTTTCTGTTAATTTTCTACCCCTTTCATTCTACCAGCTTCCCCTCCCCCGCCAAAATCAGCAAGTTGGAGTGACAAATATTTAAAGTCGCCAGCCATGCATGAGCGGCATAGCTGTGTGAATGAGTGGTTTCTTGACATTCTGAACAGCTTTGTGTGTTCCCTTAGAAACCTGGGGACCCTCGAACCCACCACCATCTGACTTAACAAGATGCCATTAGTTTGGTATTAGAAGCAATAGTGGGAGTCTGGACAGGTGGTGGTTTATGACCAGGAAATGCAAATACCCACAGTCTGCAGATGGTTTTGGAATATACATGTTTGTCGCAATGACCTCTAGGTGGATTTCTGCAGTAACAAAGGAAAGACTTTTAGGGTGTGGTTGAAATTCCTTTTCTTGCAAAGCTTGCTGTAAGATCACTTTTGCCACGATGTCCTTAGTGAATCCAAGAGATGCTTTTGGACCTGACTGGCCTTTTTTCTCTCCACTCAGCATTGCAGCAAGAGTAACAGATGCCTATTTAGGGAAGACTCGTTCCCTTTTCATATGCAAACCTTGTTGCTAAAAATTCTCTTTTAGATGAATTATTAAACCCAATTTATAAAATAGGGACAGTACAGACTTCCTCTTGAACTATTCTTTGCCTTTGATATGCGATACCCGTGTCTGCTGGTGGAGAAAAGTGGTGAGAATATGAGAGGCCGGGTGGGGGTGGGAGGAAGGTGGAATGAGTAAATAAAGGTCATTTTAGAGCCTCAGAAATTTCCTGAATGCTTGGACCCCTTAGGGTGCATTTGGAATGCTTTAATCAGCACATAGAAATGCACAAAAACATAATTATTTTTGTAAACCCAGATTTCTCCTCACGGTCTAATGAAGTAGGAATATTTAACGTATCAAAGTTCCTTTAAGAAACAGTGCTGTCTTTGTTTGGGAACAGGCATTGATCTGTGTTTGGAGCATTAAGGTAGGTAGTTTCAGGAGACAGGGGGGTTGTTCTTTTTGATTCGAGGAGAGGGATTTTTGTGTTGCTTTTGAAGGAGCCTCAGCAGGAATAAGGCTAGAGGAGCTGAGTGGACATAAAGCCACAGGAAGTGGTGGCCCCTGGATCTTCTGAGAGTGGGACACCTGGGGTGTTCTCATCTGGTTGTTTGGGTTATAAACCTAACAGGTGGTATAAACCGTTCTCCCACCTGCCTTATGAAATCTTCAGTAACATATACACTTTCAAAAGGCATAAAATCTTTGCCCAATTAATATTCTTTTTGCATTGTTTAGAAGAGATTTGTTATACAATTGAGATCCCTTTTTGAAATGCACGCATTTTTATGGTAACTATGAAAGAGAAGGTAGCTGTGAAGTTGATACATCTGGTCTGAGAGCAGCAGCGTCCCATCCCCACACCACACAGCCTGAGCCCGTGCCTGCCCGGCCCCAGCAGAAGCTGGAGTTTCAGCCTCTGGAGAAACCGATCAGGGCAGCTCCCAACTCAGGCCACAGCTGGGGATGGAGGTGAGGCCCTGGACAGAAGTGAGGTTAAGTCTAATCATGAGGCTTTGCCCCATTTCAGTCTTTCTCAAGTAGGTTCCCAGAATGCTGCTTGCCAGGCATACATCCGCCAGCCAGAAATCAGACAAAAAGCTAACATACTGAATTTGGGAGAATCTTCCCAAGGAACAGCAGGGCCTGTGCATCCTCAGCAAATCCCCAGTTGTCAAGCCCACCCCCACAGTTATCAAACCACATCCTCAGTTGTCAAACCACTGCCACTAACCTTGGATGCCACCTTCCTAGAAAAAAGAGAAAGGTGAAGATCACAAGAAAAACCTTCAACACAGAAAGCAAACATCAAAACAAACAAGAGAAGAAAAGGAGCTAAGCAAACAGGATAATGGTGTTCTACCCTTGAAGACAGAGAAGAAAGTGCACCTGAAGAGTATTCAAAGGACAGTCGAGGTGTTGAAAAAGAAAAAAAAAAAAGCAATAAAAAGGATGGAGCTAAAGTCAACGTAGTGTCTCAAAAGTGGGATAAAGAACACTAGGGCAATATAAGAGGTCCAACAGAAGATAAAAGATATTCCATGGGGAACAAAGAGAATAGGGAAGAAAAACTTATCAAAGAAAATAGTATTTAAAATATCCCAGAACTAAAAAATATTATTTTACAGACTGAACAGGTCCAGGAGGTACCCAGCACAATGAATTTTTTTAAAGGGGAGGGAGACCCATCTAAAACACGTTTTCATGAAATTTTAAAGGGATAAAGTGCAGATTTTAAAAACTCCTCTCAAATCAAAACTACAATGAGCTATCACCTCACACTGGTTAGAATGGCCATTATTTTAAAAGTCTACAAACAATAAAAGTTTAAGAGGGTGTAGAGAAAATCTTTTCACTCCTACACTGTTGGTAGCAATATAAATTGGTACAACCAATACAGAGAACAATATGGAGGTTCCTTTAAAAACTGAATATAGAATTACCATATGATCCAACAATCCCATTCCTGGACATATATCTGAAGAATACCATAATTCAAAAAGATACATGCATCTAAAATTCTGAAAGAGATGGGAATACCAGGCCACCTGACCTGCCTCTTGAGAATTCTGTATGCAGGTCAGGAAGCAACAGTTAGAACTGGACATGGAACAACAGACTGGTTCCAAATAGGAAAAGGAGAACGTCAAGGCTGTATATTGTCATCCTGCTTATTTAACTTATATGCAGAGTACGTCATGAGAAACGCTGGGCTGGAAGAAGCACAAGCTGGAATCAAGATTGCCGGGAGAAATATCAATAACCTCAGATATGCAGATGACACCACCCTTATGGCAGAGAATGAAGAGGAACTAAAAAGCCTGTTGATGAAAGTGAAAGAGGAGAGTGAAAAAGTTGGCTTAAAGCTTAACATTCAGAAAACTAAGATCATGGCATCTGGTCCCATCACCTCATGGGAAATAGATGGGGAAACAGTGGAAACAGTGTCAGACTTTATTTTATTGGGATCCAAAATCACTGCAGATGGTGACTGCAGCCATGAAATTAAAAGACGCTTACTCCTTGGAAGGAAAGTTATGACAAACCTAGATAGCATATTAAAAAGCAGAGACATTACTTTGCCAACAAAGGTCCATCTGGTCAAGGGTATGGTTTTTCCAGTGGTCATGTATGGATGTGAGAGTTGGACTGTGAAGAAAGCTGAGCACCGAAAAATTGATGCATTTGAACTGTGGTGTTGGAGAAGACTCTTGAGAGTCCCTGGGACTGCAAGGAGATCCAACCAGTCCATCCTAAAGGAGATCAGTCCTGGGTGTTCATTGGAAAGACTGATGCTGAAGCTGAAACTCCAGTACTTTGGCCACCTCATGCGAAGAGTTGACTTATTGGAAAAGACCCTGATGCTGGGAGGGATTGGGGGCAGGAGGAGAAGGGGACGACAGAGGATGAGATGGCTGGATGGCATCACCGACTCCATGGGCATGAGTTTGAGTAAACTCCGGGAGTTGGTGATGGACTGGATGCAGGCCTGGCGTGCTGCAATTCATGGGGTCGCAAAGAGTCAGACACGACTGAGCGACTGAACTGAACTGAACTGAATGTTCACTGCAGCACTGTTTACAATAGCCAAGACAAGGAAGCAATATAAATTTCATCAGAGGAATGGATAAAGAAGAGGCAATACATATATATGGTGGAATATTACTCAACCATAAAAAACAAAATAATGCCATTTGCAGCAACGTGGATGGAGATTAGAGATTTTCTAGAGATAATCACTAGAGATTATCATACTAAGTGAAGTCAAAGACAGATATCATATGATATCATTTGTATGTGGAATGCAAAATATGAGACAAATGAACTTATTTACAAAACAGAAACAGGGTCACAGATGTAGAAAACAAAGTTATGGTTAGCAAAGGGAAAAGGCAAGGGGATAAACTCGGAGATTGGGATTAACACATACACAGTACTATATATAAAATGGGTAACTAATAAGGACCGACCGTATAGCATGGGAAGCTCTACTCAATATTCTGTAATAACCTAGATGGGGAAAGACTTTAAAAAAGAGTGGATGTATGTATATGTATAACTGACTCACTTTGCTCTTCACCTGGAACTGACAACATTATAAATCAACTGTACACCAATTAAAAAAATAAAAACCTCTAGGAGAGTAGGGACAAAGATAACAAAACAAGGGTCACATGCCAGACATTAGGGGTCAGAGTGACATCATCTCAGCAACACTGAAATCTGGAGGAAAGGGGAACACGACTTCCAAAATACCAAGGAAAATGTCCTTCCAGCCTAGAACTCTATACCTAACCAAGCAACCAAAGGCAGTCACTGGATCCTAGTAAAGCTATACCAAAATAAAAGAATTAGCAAAGGAAGATGAAGTCATTGTTTCCCAGAAACTGGATTTAACACAAAAGAGAGTCAAAGGGAGTTCACCATTTGGTGAGTGAAGCTCTAGAATGACCACTAGGCACCAAGGATGAGGACCCACCAACCCAAACTGGGGCAGGAAGGAGGATAGCTCTGGGAAGGATATCTCCAAAAATACAGATGAAACTAATGTGTTTGAATATATGGAAGAGAATTTTACATCTCTTCTGGAGATTTAGTGATGTGTATATGAAATTATGCAAGTGAAAAAAAAAAGTCAATAATTAACTCTAGGGAAAACAAAAAGTCATATATGAAAGGAAATGTAATACTTCCCTGAGCAGCTTGACCAATGTTTACTTAGTAAAGATAATATATTCACTGCATATTGATTTAACAAAAATATGATATGATTCCATGGGGAGGATGTAGGAGAGAAAAGAGATAAGGTGAAGGTTTATGTGCTAAAACCCTCATCATAGCAGGAAGGCAGGAGATTATATTTAAAATGGAAAAATCAATGCAATAGTATAATTCCTTTTGCTCAGGAAAATGGAGATACGTAAAAAGCTATTTGCTAAAGAGGTGGGACCTGGTATGGGAGGCATGGGAAGAGGAAAGCTATTTTTATTACTGCCCTTAGAGTACAGTTTGGCTTTTTTAATGTGTATTATTGCTTTGGTAGAAACTGAATTAAATTTTAAAATGATGTGGAGCACAGCACCTGGCCCACGTTAAGTTCTGGCCAGTGTGGGGAAGCTATGCTTCTGACCCTGTCGCCAGCTCCCTTGGCTTTTCTCAGCAAATTCTGAGAAGTGAGTTCTAAATGAGTTGGCCATTTAGAAAGGATACATGTTTATGCATGGCTGAGTCACTTTGCTATGCACCTGAAACTGTCACAGTGTTGTTAATTGGCTATACTCCAATATAAAATAAAAAGTTAAAAATAAATCAATAAAAGTTGGCCATTTTGAATTTTTGTAATTTCATCTCTCACTCCTGCCCTCGAGATCTTGCTGTATCGTTTGTTTTTGTTGTTGTTTTAGTGCAGGCTGCTGTAACAAATGAGCATAGATTGGGTGGCTTAACAACAAGCATTTCTTTCACACAGTTCCGAAGGCTGAAAAGTGCAAGATAGAGGTCTTGGCAGATTTGGTTCTTGGTGAGGGCTCTCTTCCTGGTTTGTACATGAATACCCCCTTCATGTTCTTGCATGACCAAGACAAAATGGCTAGTTCTCTTCTTAGAAGGATGCTAATCTCACTAAGGGCCCCACCCTCATGATCTAATTACCTCCCGAATGCCTCACCTCCAAACCATTAGGGTTTCAACCTGTGAATTCTGGGGACATAAACATTCGGTCCACAGCATTGTTGGGGTTTTTTTTTTTCTTCTTTTGCATCTTTTACCCTCAAAGAGAAGGTACATTAATGCTTTACTTCACTGGATAAACTCACAGTGCACTAGAAACTTTGAGAATGTTTTTGAGGCTGCTTTGGTTATTGAAATAAATGACTGGTGTTTTAAATAAGAAATCTATATGTTTTACCTTGTCTGTAACTAGAGATTTCTCTGATAAGGATTTTTATATGTGAAAAATCAGGCTGTCTATTGGAGTGGTGGAATGGATAGATGCAAGCTTTCCCCTTGAAACAGAGTTGGGACCCTTTGGCCAAACACCCCTTATGCCCTGTGGTGGGTGAAGTGAGGATGTTAAATGGGGGTGAGGGGGTTGTGGGAAGTTGTACTTAGTAAGAGTGGATTATTATATGGAAATCAGGATAAGGGTTGATATTTTGCATCTGGGTTGCCGAGGGGTGTATGAGACAATACCCTGGATTCCAGAAGCAGAGGGTCCAGAGGAGGGGACTTAGTGCTGGGAGTTTGCAGACATCTGCGAGGACATGGGGCTTGACCCCTCACTGTGGACTTGGAGGTCCTCAGTCCTCTTACCTCCACGTAGCAGGACCAGAGAATCCCAGCTGACATCGGGCTCACAGGAGATTCTTGTGTTTCTCTGTTGCATCAGCACAGTCTTCTGCAGAGCTGTGTTCACCTCTGTGGAGAAGAGGAGGGACTGGCATTTGGGTGCGAGACAGGCTTACTTTCAACAATGGAAGGAAGGAAGTGATGGAGGCAGGGAGGAAGACTCCAAGGAACAAAGTGCACGTCTTCTCTTTTTTAATGAAATGTAGTCTTATCTTTATTATTTAGTCCCTAAATTATCTTCTGTGATTTTCAGAATGCTATTTTTTAAATTCATTTGTTTTTATTGAAGGATAATTGCTTTACAGAATTTTGCTGTTTTCTGTCAAACCTCAACATGAATCAGGCCATAGAACTTCTTAAAGTCACTTTCCCTGTCTCCATTCCTATAACCAAGTTGAAGCTA